TTGTACCCAGGACCAGGAGCCTCCTACCATCCCCTACAGCTCCTCCCTTACCTCCAGATGAAACTCAGCAGCCCTCTGGCCAGGCGATGTTGTTGCCTCCTCCAGCAGCCAAACTGCCTTATCTATATAGGCAGCCCTGAGCCTAAAATGGCTGCCCTCATTAGGCACCTGGAGGCTGCCAGCTCCAGGGCCTTAAAGTGGCAGGCACACCTAGTGCCCTGCCACAGTTACGAAAGCAGTAATTCAATCAAGGAAATGGTCCCTTAAAGCAAAAAGGAGCTTGTGTTGTTTAGAACTCATGATCCTTTTCTGATTATTACAAAACATGCTCTCAGTTTTGTGGAAACAGATCAGAATCTCTGTAAACTGCAAACCCACTGGTATGATTTTTTCTATGTTTACCACATGACAGACCACTAACCTGCAGTACTATTTTGCCAGGGGCCATGTTGAAATACAGGAATGGACAAACAGATTTAAATAAATAAAATGGAGATCTCTGTGGTTCCCAAAAAGACTCCTTAAACCCCGACAGGGAAAGAGGTTAAGAGCCACTTACCACAAATACTTTCATCTTCTTTTACTGAAAAAAGATATATCTATTGTATTTGAATCATGTCAGGGGGGAATGCTTAGTTTTTGCTCATTATCAAACTACTTGCGTTAGTCAAAAAAAAGATAATCCTGGCTTTAAAGCAGAGGCCTAAAAAAACTGCATGAAGAATATAGGCCTGTGGATTTTAAATAAGGTTTAAGTAATCAGTGGGGGACAAAACAATATGTCTTTCCTACAATGATATATAACATGACACTTTTCTCATTGCAGTATACATGATGCATGTCCACAGAAAAGAAAGTCATTGCTTTAGCCCCAGCACAACTCCCTCCTGAGCTGTACAGGCAACTCCCGCTTAGTGCTCTTAATTGGTTCCTGAAAAACCGAGCATTAAGCGAAACAAGCATCAAGCAAAACCAAAAGTATTTGACAACTCAAGATGGCAACCGCAATTGTTTTTAATGACCCAAGATGGCAACTGTGAGTGTTATAACTAAACTCGCTGACCACTAAGTGAAATCAGGTATCAATTTTAAATGAGCGTTATAGCGAAATATCACTAAGTGAAACAGTGTTAAGTGGGAGCTGCCTGTATTCAATCTTTTCCCCTTGAGCCCCTTCCCATCCAACACTGAGCTGGCTACTTAGTCTGTTAGCCATGGCTGCTCAGATGTGTCCTGGGGTTCCCAGCACTTGAGGTGCCCTCCTTTTCTCCTCTTTCATGTGCCCACACAGCCCCCAACCCTGCAGACGCTACCATCACCTCCTGTTTCTCACCTGCTGTGACTCAAGGACAGAAAGGTACTCAATTCATTTGCCTGGTTGGAAAACCATGTACCAAATGGTTAAATAATATTATGTATATATGTATGAATGATACTTTTGGCGTATTGCTTCCCCCTACTTATCGTCAGTGGGATGGGTTCTATCAAATATTTGGAAAAGAGATCTGGAATTTAATCAAGAATCCCTTGCAATTCTTTCACTGCTTTATTTAGCAACAGAACTGCTGGCTACAGTAACTTAGATAATTTTGTAGAACTTTACCACTTCTAAATCATAAAAATGATTCCTGCAAAATACAATCGATACTGGAAAGAAATAATACACACACTCCAATGTTATCTGTATCCAAATTAAACAATACAGTTTCTGAGCCAATGCTATTTTTGGAAGAAGAGTGGCATGCAAGACTGGGATTGGGAATGGGGAGATATATCCCTAAATGCAAGGACTGTACAGAAGAGAAGTGCACTCATAAATTTTTACTTGCCCCTGCATGCAGTAGAAAAAGATGTGAGTGTAACTACAGAGATGCATGGTGAAACAAACTAAAGCATCCATTCACTCATTATCTGACAGCAGCGACCACATTCCAAATAAAAGAGGACTGTACCTAGAGTTTCTACACACCCTGGAGAGAAAAAGATGGAAGTAAATGCTCCGCAGAGAACCAACTAGTCAATGTGTTTATTAGAAACAGAGTAGGGGGCATGAAGTAGTAGTCATGGTTAGCCCACACTTCAAGGAACAAGATACTCCACAATTCAGCCACTGCTGAACACTACCATGGGTGTGTATCGCCTCCAGCAGAAGCCCAGGGTTGCCACTGAGAAATAAGCCCCACCCACTCACACCTATTCTGCAAGTGTCCAACAGATCAGGCAGCATGAGTGATTTGGGAGCAGGCTGGTACCATGCACCAGTACATTGCTCAAGCTCTGCTGCCATGATGCATGTACTCAGGGTTGCTCTGAGCAACTCACACCTGCTAAGAAAGCATGAGCAAGTGGAGCTTATTTTTAGGTGGTGTTCCCTGGCTCACTCCTAAAGCTGTCCATAAGAATGCTAAAAATGTGAAGCCTATAGTAAAAAAGCTAGAAGCACACTGCAGACTTGTATCTATATAGTACTGATGTAATCAATCAGTCACAAAAGACAAATCATGCAAGAGCAGATCAGGGATGAAAAATAATCAGAGCACAGTAGTTCTAAAAAGCATCTATCTTAGTGCTCACTGAACTGAATGGAATATCCACCAGAAGCAGTAGCACAGTGGCACAAGCTGCAACAGGAACAGGTAGTAGGCCTGTAATCCCTACAAGCAACCTCCAAGATGAGCAGGGATTCCTGTTAAGAATTCCATCTATCCTTAAGCATCATCTTTTGCTCTTATATTGGTGCACTGGAAAAAAGAGGATTCACACAATTTCTGTACCACCTTATAAATTTGCATATGCCAATGAAGGCTCTTATTACTTGAATAAAAGGACATGCAAATACAGGGGTGTAGTAATACATGAAACTATTTATCACTCAAGGTTTATGTTGGCTGTGACAAAAAAAATAAACTAAGGGTTAGTTGATTCCCAAATGGAGGAGTAAAAAAACCTTCTCTTTGTTCCCCATGTTGCTAACTGAAATCTGTTCTCAAGAGGTACTAAATCAAAACTTTGTCTTGATGAAGGAACATCTGAATAGCCAGTTAATCACATACATAGAAAGACACACAAACCTAAGACTATGGTACAGCCTAGGAGTTACCAAAGTCTATATTTAAAACACACGAACAATCTTTTTAGGAAAATGCAACTTCTTAGGCTCCCCTTATACTGGCCATGTTGGTTGGATGGAACTGATTGTAGATTGACCTTGAGGTCTGTCCTGGGTCTGGTATAGTTTTGTGTGTTCGTTGATGACTTGGAGGATTTGCAGATGACACCAAGCTTGATACAGTAGAAGGCTCTTTACACAACACAATTAAGATTCAGAATAAACTTAATATCATTTCCCAATTTATTAAAGAAATATGCTGAAATTCAATAAGGGCCTGGATCTGGAGGTTACAGTGGTCTACAAACTGACTAGGAGTCAACAATATAATATGGTTGGGCGGGGGGACTAGTAGGTTACTGAGATGAACAAGAACATCAGAGTATCATACACATCATGGAAAGTGATCTTTCTGCTTTATTCAGTACTAGTCTACCAAGAATAGTCCAATTCTGGCCACCTTGTTAAGGAAGATATGGAAAACTGCTCTCTTCTGATCACTCTCCAACAACAACAATTAGAAGTCTGGAAACAAGACATACAAGAAAAGGTTGAAAGAACTGGGATTATTTAGTCCAGGGAAGAGAAATATGAGGGGAAATTTGGCAACAATTTTCAATTCCAAAAACAGTTGTTATAAAGATGATGACAGTGATAATTCATTCTCCATGTACACAAGGGACAGGACAAGAAATAATGAGCTTCAGTTGCAACAAGGAAGAGTTCAAATATTAAGAACTTTCTACCTCTGAGGGTGCTTAAATCCTGGACAAGATTACCAGAGAAACTATGGTAACTATCTCCATCATTGGAAGATTTAAGTGCAGGTATGATAAACATTTGTCTTGGACGATTTAAATATAAATTAACCTGTCCTGAGAAAGGGACTAGACTAAACGACTTCCTGAGGTCCCTTCCAGTCTTATGTTCGCATAATTTTTTTTTTATCTAAAAGATTATTCCATTTGGCGTAAAGGCCATCCCATGTCTTACGATTTATGCTGTAAAGTACCTAAAATATTTTGTTTTCCCCTATAAAAATAAATCAAATTGCCTGTTATTTCCCTAATTTCTAGATGTAAAAAGGTTCACTATTGCATAAAATATAACTCACTATAAAATTGAACTATATATAGACAAGAGATGTGCAGAACTGAAAAATCTACATGAAATATCTTAATCTACAAAATAAATTTAAGTCAAAATATCCCAAATACATAAATTAAGACCACAGTTAATCTCACTCTGGCTCGTCTAATTGGAGGTCAATTACAAGTTTGCCAGATTCAGAGCAGCCCTAGGGCTACTCCAAGTAGTTCAGATCCAGAATTAGGGATTCACAGGATTGGTTTGAATTCATTTACCTTCTGCCACTGGCCACAAATTCAGTGCAGAAATACAGAAACAGAAAATATGTTCTGTAGTGGACTTGGATTAGACACATCTTAGATACTGAACCTAAGAAAGTATAAAACAAAACCCCTTCCCTCAAAGTGAAAATTTGTGAAAGCAGTCTCATCTAGTTTTGGTTTACTTAGGAATCACATAAGACCAAGGGTATTTAAGTTTACTTGCACATCTCCTTTGGTAAGCAAAGATTTGCATCAATTCTAATAATATTTAAAAAGTAAATGGAGGAAAGAGTTTACTTAGTAACCAGCATTTACTGAGTAACCCAGAGTCATTACTGGCCATGATAAATGATAGAATTTTAAACAAAAACAGAGTTCAAAGGAACCATTTTGGCAGATGCGTACTATGCATTGAAGAAATCATGCTGAATATCAAGCAGTAAGATCTTAAAATTGGAGAAAATACGCTCCCAAAACTGAAAGACTCCTGGTAAACAAGTAAGTGTCATACTCTCCTAGCATTGCAAAGGAGCTTGTACATTTCATACTACATTAAGTCTGTATTATAACTAGGGTAGATTTAAGGCTAGAAAGATTATTTCTTCACATTTTATGGACGTTAGAAACTGCATGTTCCTAGTCTCCTCTGTTAACCGAATGCACATCGGTTAACAGCCTTTTCGCCAAATATCTAGCATGTCTAACTGTAGCTCTTACAGTAGGAGACAGGTCTGACTAATTAATACATTTTACAATCTTGCCTGTGTCTTCCTTTTGATTGAAAAAAATAATTAAAAAAAGTAATAAGCTAATAACTATAAAAAATTAGAAAAACTCCAAATCTTTACACTTACTAACCAAAATAAGATTCACAACATTTTCATAATCTTAAATAATTTTGGATATTTCACTGATATTTATTTATTGCAATAAAATGCTCAAAGCAGGTTGTAATTATATATGTTCATTTTTTTAAATCCTCAGGACAGAGAAGATAATTCTACAGTGATCAATTTCTTCAAGAATGGAAGAAACCTTGCCAACACACTATTTGCTTGCGACAGAAAACAGAAACTACAAAGTGTCAAGCACCCCCTTTTCCATGTTTCAATGCACAGCTGTTAACATCTGACCCAACCTGATAGTAAGTAACCACACTTGCTCTATGACCATATTTTGTTTTTATATATTTTTTTAATTGGGTTATGGACATATATCGTGATATATAAAATATAATTACCATGCATTATTTTGGCAGTAAACAGCTGTCAAAAGTTGACCATTTCAGGATGCTAAACTTTTTTTCTTAAATTAAAATTAATGTTTGTTGCATCTCTTCCACCTGTATAGCCAGATGCCTTGGTTACTACAGTCCAGATTCAAGATGAAAAGGGAAGCAGTTTTATATCTCCTACTCAATTGAAAGAAAGTATAATTTTGAAGAATTCACATATAGTCTCTTTAAATTAGTGATTCTCAACCAGGGAACACAAGTAAGCATGCATGCACGAACACTTTATGTTAATACTTTGAACCAAGCTAATCAAACCTAATTTGTATCCAAAAGAATTTCAACTAGGAATGTCAAAAACACATGGGAAAACTAGAGATGGAATGATGAAAAGGCGGATCTGCTCTTGAAATTTGCAGTAGGCTTTCTGTGTTTATATTAAGACCAATAACTGTGGTGCCACTAGAGCATACCACTGCACCGTTACTCTCCAATTAAAGAAATATTTTTCTCTTTGTTGCGTGGCCAGGAGAGTCAGACTTTGAAAAAGAGCTCTGAATTATAGTCAGACATTCCATAATGCACTGTTCTCACTCCTGAGGTTCATGGATTCCCACCAGATGGCCATGTATTTTGGGATTTAAATCAAAATATTCTTCTTATTCCGTCCCACCATCCAGTTTTGATGGATGTATAATAAATTGTATACTTGAATACTAGGCAATCTAAACCAGGGGTCTGCAACATTTTTGGGCAGAGTGCCAAAAATACCTGCAGCCTCAGCTTGTAAGACGCTGGCATGCCAGGTGGATGGCAGGGGAGCTGCAAGGGGCCAGATCCTTGTTGTGGTAGTGTAGCCCTGGCCCCTTCCCTGCCATCTGCCCCAAGGCACATGTGCCAAGCAATATGCCATGCTCTGGCACCTGTGCCAGGGGTTGCCTACACCTGCTAAAGATAAATATGACATCACCCTTATGATACCTCAAACTAAGAGCTGTTTGTCTCCATGGCATTTCTTATAAGCAACATATACTGCTTACTGGAAGTGATTCCCAGCAGTGTCTCCCCCCAGTGATGCAGCTGGACCACCTGGTTGCAATTCTGTCAGCTCCTCAGTCTTTGGAAAGTAGTCTTTCTCTGTGTCTGCAGTGGTCGTGAAATCAGAGGGTGCAGGATCATTACTGCCATGGCTGCTTTCAGTGTTGTTTGGTGATATCCATCAAACGCAGAGGTTTAACTTTAAGTTCCCTCGCAAATACACAGTCCAGCTCAAAGTAGCCGTAGATGCTGCAAGTTCTCCAAAAGTCATGGTCATCCCTTACACTTTTTTCAACCAGGTTAAGTTCTTTTCTTTTATTTAGCACTGGCTTCAATATGTGTTGCACTTCCCTCATTCATTTGTTCAGACAGACACTTCTATATTTGAATTCTAGCCACTCCAGTGCACAGATAGGTCTGCACATATTCCTTTTCCCAAAAAACAATGAAGTCTAGAACCTCAGTACGAGGGATAGCTGCTCAACAGACAGGAGTGTGACAGTCATCTGGACAACCTCAGTACTGGGGTCACAGGAGGACAGTAACTGGTTGTATGCCAGTGTTTAAACAGGTGAGTCAGGATGAGTCAGAGCACACAAACATGAGACCAAGGCATCCTGAAAAGCTGTGTAAGATACTGGTGGGAGGATTTAGGAGATACTCAAGAGCTACTTTGGGGTTTTTACCTCTACTTTGCAGCAGATAAGCCCATCCTGCACTTCAGCAGACTTGCTTCCCAAGCGTGTTTAAACGCATATATTCAAATACCACAATTCACTACAAAACTTCATAGAATCATAGAATCATAGAAGTAGGGTCAGAAGGGACCTTGTAGATCTTCAAGTCTGACCCCCCGCCCGGGCGGGAGAAAAACTGGACTCAAATGAGTCCAGCCAGGTAGGCATCAAGCCTCTTCTTAAAGACCCCCAGGGTAGGAGCCAGCACCACTTCCCTTGGAAGTTGGTTCCAGATCCTAGCCACCCTAACTGTGAAGTACTTCTTGCGGATGTCTAATATAAACCTACTCTCCAATAATTTGTGTCCATTATTCCTTGTTATGCCAGGGGGCGCTAGGGGAAACAGTGTCTCCCCCAAACCCTTCTGGTCCCCCCTAGTGAGTTTATAGACAGTCACCAGGTCTCCCCATCAGCCTTCTCTTGTGAAGGCTGAACAGGTTTAGGTCCAGCAGTCTTTCATTGTAGGGTCTGCCCTGTTGTCCCCGGATCACGCAGGTGGCCCTCCTCTGGACCCTTTCAATGTTGTCCACATCCCTCCTGAAATGGGGCGCACAGAACTGGACGCAGTACTCCAGCTGTGGCCTGAGCAGTGTTGCATAGAGGGGGAGGATCACCTCCTTGGCTGTACTTGAGATGCACCTGTGGATGCACGACAAGATCCAGTTAGCCCTGCCAACTGTGACCTTGCATTGTCGGCCCATGTTCATCTTGGAGTCAATAATGACTCCAAGATCCCTTTCTGCCTCCGTGCTCTCAAGAAGGGAGTTTCCCATTCTATAAGTGTGCTGCTGGTTTCTCTGCCTAAGTGCAGCACCCTGCACTTGTCACTATTGAAACACATCCTGTTTATGTTAGCCCACTCCTGTAACCTATCCAGATCTTGCTACAATCTTTCCCTCCGTACTAGCGTACTCACCTCACCCCAAATTTTGGTATCATCTGCAAATTTAAACAGGTTGCTTTTCACCCCATCGTCTAAATCGCTGATGAAGAAATTGAACAGCGCAGGCCCAAGGACTGAGCCCTGGGGGACTCCACTGCCCACTTCCCCACAGGCTGAATATGACCTGTCCACCACCACCC